TTGGTTTACCCCTCTGGGATCCTGGGGCTCTCTTGGGCCAACGTGGGGGTCTCCTGGGCCGTATTGGGCTCTTCTTTGGCCGTCCTGGAGCTCTGTTGGGGACCTCCTGGGCCGTCTTCGAAGCCTCTCGGGCCGTCGTGGACGCTGTGACACGAGGCGAACATGCTAAGAACCTACCTTTTCCTAAGGGTCGTTGCTTCTTGGGACGTCTTGGGGCGCCTTGGGGCTGTCGTGGTGTCATCTGGGGCCGTCTTAGAGCTCTCGTGGGGCGCTTCTGGGACCATTGAGGGCCAGTCGCAGGCTATCTTAGGTGGTCTTGGAAGATGTTCGGGCTTTCTGGGACCTCTGGCGGTCGCCTGGGGAGGTCTCCGGGGAGAAGGGGCACCGAAGTACAAAGGAGGGGCCAGCCCATGGCCGCGGGTCCAGGATATGTGTATACATACATATATGTATGTATGTATGTATGTATGTATGTATGCATGTATGTATGTATGCATGTATGCATGCATGCATGCATGCATGCATGCATGTATGGATGTATGTATGTATGTATGTGTGTATGTGTGTATGTGTGTATGTGTGTATGTGTGTGTATGTGTGTATGTGTGTATGTGTATATGTGTGTATGTGTGTATGTGTGTATGCATGTATGCATGTATGCATGTATGCATGTATGCATGTATGCATGTATGCATGCATGCATGCATGCATGCATGCATGCATGCATGCATGCACATATGTATGTATGTATGTATGTATGTATGTATGTATGTATGTATGTATGTATGTATGTATGTAGGTATGCATGTATATATAGCGCCTCAGCGCGGCCCACTCTCTCCCCCACCACCTCCCTGCCTGCCCCCATGTGCACAACCCTCGCAAAAGCGCCACCCTCCCTCTTGCCCCTCTTGCCCTCCTCCTCCTCCTCCTCCTCCTCCTCTTCCTCTCTTCCTTCTCCTCCGCCCTCCGCCCTCCTCCCTCTGCCCTCCTCCTCCTCCTCCTCCTCCTCCTCTTCCTCCTCCTCCTTCTCCTCCTGCAACGCGACGGCAAGGGCTGCAGCCAGCCTCAAGGATCCTCCCCGCGGGTTCGGAAGGGCCCAGCCCCGACCCCACTCCATCGCTTGGGGTGCCTCCCTCCCCCCGACCCTGGGGCGGGGGCGATGGGGCCAGGAGGTGCTCGCCCCCCTGCGGTGTTAGCGGGCATACGGGATCGCGGCATTGGCGTCCTTCTGTCTCTCTCTCTCTCACTCTCCTTCCCTCTCTATCTTCAACTTCCCTCTCTCTCTATCTCTCTCTCTCTCCGCCTTTTGTTCTGTACGACGTGCTCCTCCCTCCTCCCCTTCGCGCTAGGGAGCAGAATATCCACCCTCATCACAAGTACCCCGACAAGCGAAACTGTTTAGTTTGAAAGAGTCTCTGTGGAACTCACGTCATCCTGCCCCCCGCCGCGCGATGTGGAGATGCGCCGGGCGCGCCGGGCGTGTCCCCATCCGGAGCCCTCGCTCAAGACATCCTTGCAAAATCACCCCACGGGGTCCCCAGCGCACCCCCAAGGAACATTTCCGGCTATGCGCCGGGCGCGCCAAACGCATCTGTCGAGGACAAGGACGAAAACGGAGACTAACACGGGGCGAGCACGAGGAGGAGAATGATGAGAAGGGAGGAAGACGCAGGAGGATGGAGGAGGAAGGAGGGAGGCGGGAGGAGAGGAGGAGGAGGGAGGAGGAGGGAGGAGGAGGAGGAGGAGGAGGAGGAGGAGGAGGAGGAGGAGGAGGAGGAGGAGGAGGAGGAGGAGGAGGAGAGCAGGAAGGAAGACGCAGGAGGATGGAGGAGGAAGAGGGAGGCGGGAGGAGAGAGGAGGAGGAGGAGGAGGAGGAGGAGGAGGAGGAGGAGGAGGAGGAGGAGGAGGAGGAGGAGGAGGAGGAGGAGGAGGAGGAGGAGGAGGAGGAGGAGGAGGAGGAGGAGGAGGAGGAGGAGGAGGAGGAGGAGGAGGAGGAGGAGGAGGAGGAGGAGGAGAGGAGGAGGAGGAGGAGGAGGAGGAGGAGGAGGAGGAGGAGGAGGAGGAGGAGGAGGAGGAGGAGGAGGAGGAGGAGGAGGAGGAGGAGGAGGAGGAGGAGGAGGAGAGGAGGAGGAGGAGGAGGAGGAGGAGGAGGAGGAGGAGGAGGAGGAGGAGGAGGAGGAGGAGGAGGAGGAGGAGGAGGAGGAGGAGGAGGAGGAGGAGGAGGAGGAGGAGGAGGAGGAGGAGGAGGAGGAGAGAGCGAGAATGTGGAGGAAGAGGAGGAGGAGGATGAGGAGGAGGAGGAGGAGGAGGAGGAGGAGGAGGACTAGAACGGTGGCCTGCCTCCGAAGAGGCAAGTCCAACAAAAGAGGGCAGAGCAAAGATAAGGGGGCGACCGCGACCTGCGCGAGTCGCTCACCCCAGAAAGCACAACACCACCGGCGCGCAAGAAATTGCCCGACAAAGTAACAAGACAGGGCTGCAGAGCAATCCTGCTAAGAGAAGCTGGTATCCCTCAAATGGGATAGATGATTCTGTCGAGCCACCCGCCGAATTGCGATTAGGGAACAAGGTGGGGGACCCAAGTATAAGGAGACACAACAGTGGGGTCCCCCAGCTCGTCATATAGCCGCGTGAGGGCTGGCAACACAGGACCTGTGGAGAATCTAGTGTTCTTGGGGTCCAGTCCCTGCATCAAATTACCAAGTCTGTACTTGACGGTGGTCGATCCTGCACGCCTGTTACACAGTCTGTGAATGTGTCCAACATTCGCGAACGAGTACGAACCACATAATTTACATAATACGTACATGCCAATACACATGACTACATGGCCGAACCCATGGGGGCGGGATAAGGGGCCCTATACTATTGCCCTATACAGCTCGGCTTTGCAATGGCTGGAGGCCGAACAGGCTATGCACCTAAAGCGCTGTACAGAAGAGTCCCATGCCAACTCATGTGGAACTCGCGTAGACGGCATCACAACAACCGCTGGGGGGTTAAGACAGGGAGGGAGGACGACCCAGGCAGGGCGTGGAATTCATTGAGGCGCGATAAGACACGAGACATGACACATCCGATGTATTTGCCAATATGCTCTACTACAATGCGCGATCTACTCAGTCGTTCCATTGCCGCTGCATCGACATGATGACGCCGAGTACCAAGCTTAGCACCAGGAGGAGGAGGAGGAAGAGGAGGAGGACGGATGACCTCCAGGGACCTCCAGCTCGTGAGCCTCACATTCCTGATCCTCACCCTCCTGATCATCACCAGCCGCACCACCGCCGCCCGCTCACAGGCGCACGCCCCTTCTTTTATATACAGAAACTGCCGATCAACCGCAGAGTGGCCAGCTGGTAAACAGGAATCAGTCAGGGCATAGGGCTGTCTAGCAAAATCTGCAGGGCCAGTTCGCCAACGCCAGTTCTCGGGGTCTGGGTGGCGTTTCAGAGGCCTCCTAGGAGGTCGAGAGATCGCGCCGCATCGCCGATGCATCGGGGACGTCGGCGACGCATCGGCGCCATCAGCGTGGAGAACATCGAGCTCCGCATCGAGCCGCATCGCCGATGCGGCGCGATCCCCCGACCCCATCTGCTCGGACCTCACCTGGGAGGCCAAGAGTTCAGCAGAACGCTCAGAGCCGGGCTGGCCGCTCCTCCCCTGACGCACGGGCAGGAGGGCCCGGAATCGAACCGAGAAATCGCATCGGCAACCGAAGGGAAGCGGATCGGCGGACATCGGCACCAGAGAGGGGAGCCGGAGAGTCGGCGGACACTGGCAGGGCAGTAAGGCATCCAGAGGGAGCCCACGAAAGACCTACGCGCCCAACTATGTGCATGAATGCGGCCCCTCGACCCGCGAGGCTGGCCGCGTGACACGAACATCCGGGCAACGCGTGCTCTCGAAACCAGCACGGATCCGCGCATACGTACGTGCACGTCCTCCCTCCGCTCCCGAGGACCCACCGAGAGACCGAGATCCGGAGCCCGAGCCCGAAGCCGAACCGGATCGGCATCGCCTCGGGTCGAGTCCGCCACGAGCCGACGCGAGCCCTGCCGAGGGCAGGGCGCGCGCGGGCGGCCTCCGCGAAGGGCGCGTCCACGCACAGCACGGCGCGGGCGCCCGGGCGCCCCGCCGCGGCCCCGCCCGGCGGCCGCGGGCCCGAGGAGGCCCCCGCGGCGGGCGCGGCCCACGAGAGCGCCGCGGCGAGCGCGCTGGGCCGCTGCGCCTGGGCCCAGGGCGGCGCGGGCTCCTCGCCGCCGCCGCCGTCGCCGTCCGTCGTCCCCGCTTCCTCCCCGCGTCCTCCTCGCCTCCTCCTCGCTTCCTCCTCGCTTCTCCCCCCCCCTCGCTCCTGCTCTCTCCTCCTCCTCCTCTCTCCTCCTCCTCCTCCTCGCACCCTTCTCGTCACCTCCTCTCTCCACACCTACCCACGTCTCTCCCCCTCGCTTCCTCCTGTCTCTCTCCTTCTCTCTCTCCTCGTTTCCTCCTCGTTTCTTCCTCTCTCCTCTCTCCTCTCTCCTCTCTCCTCTCTCCTCTCTCTCTCTCCTCCTCCTCCTCCTCCTCCTCCTCCTCCTCCTCCTCCTCCTCCTCCTCCTAGTCCTCCTCCTCCATCCCCCTTTACCCCTCCTCCCTCCTGCTTCCGTCGGGGGCTGACGACGTGCGGTGAACCCTTGGAGACGGGGCGGCAAGGGCTGGGAGCGCGCAGGGGGAGGGGGGGCGGTGGAGGAGGAGGCACTCGGATGCGCCTCGGAGGGCCGCCAGACGCTTCTGGAGGTTTTTGGAGGTCTGTGGGCTGATGACGTGCAGTGCTAACTCGGAGACTGTCGTTCTCATTGCCGTGGTCGCCGTTGTTTCCCCCCTCCCTCTCTCCTTGCACCGAAGGCCGCTCTCGCACGAGCTCGCCGCCTTGCACAGTGGACTAGGGCCAGCAACAACGTTTGATCGATGACACTGGGCGAATGCATCGTTTCCCACCGCTTCGCTCAGCCGCGGCATCACCTGCTGCATGACTTCCTCGCTCGTGCCGACAGCAGCGCTGCAACCGATGCCTTCTGTCGCCGACTTCGCCATCCGCAGACCACTGGACCATCAAAATGCTCCCTGCAGGCCTCAATGCTTTCGGGGGCGACGTCGACGTCCGACTCACATTCCGCCTCCTGCAGCTCGCCGAACAAGCTGGCGACCTTTGAGCCCAAATTTCGCTCCACATGATTCACCCAACGAGGACAACACCAAACTTCCGCCACGTTGAAGCTCTGAGCGTCGGGCTCCACACTCGCCTGCCACGTCCTGCTGAACAGCGACAGCGCCTCCTGCCACTGCCCTCCTCGCCCACACGCGCGTAGGCCCAAGCAGAAAAGCTGGTGACCTTTGAACCCAAATTTCGCTCCACATGATTCATCCAACGAGGAGAACACCAAACTACCGCCGACGCCCGCCATTATCGACCGCGCAGGTTCTACGGCTGCGGTTGTCGAAAACGAATCAACCCAAAACACAACGCGCCTCTCCGTTGCTGTGCTCTACCGTCTTCCCACCCTCAACCGTACTCTTTGGTGAGGTCTGCCGGGCGAACTTGGGTACATGCTGGCACGACGTGAAGGGGGCTGGGCCACTGTGAGCGCGATGCCTCCAGGCGCACATGGTTGTCAGAAGGTGATGACCCGCTGGCGTCCCGAGGCCTGACCTGCGACGCACCAGTTGGTTCTTTGACTCTCCCTGGAGCGGCTGACGAAGGCGGCTACTTGCCCGCCCGTCTCGCACGCGCTTACTACCACGTTGAAGCTCTGAGCGTCGGGCTCCACACTCGCCTGCCACGTCCTGCTGAACAGCGACAGCGCCTCCTGCCACTGCCCTCCTCGCCCACACGCGCGTATTCCGAGGCAGCAGCTGATGGCATCCAGCTCCAGCTTTGCCTCCCACAGCTCGCTGAGCAACCATAGTGCCTGTTGCCACTTCCCACACTTTTCGCAGGCGCTGATCCCAGCGCAGACGCTGATGACGTCTGGCTCCAACCTCGAATTCCGCAGGTCACTGAGTAACACCATCGCCTGCTTCCACTTCCCACCCTTCTCGCAAGCGCTGATCCCGGCGCTGCAGCTGATGACACTGGGCTTCAGCTTCGCCTCGCGCAACTCGCCGAGCAACGACACCGCCTGCTGCCACAGCCCGTGCTTCTCGCATGCGCTGATTGCAGCACTGTAGCTGATGACGTTCAACTCCAAATGTGTCTCCCTCAACTCTTTGAGCAACGATAATGCCTGCTGCCACTCCCCGCCCTTCTCGCATGCGCTGATCCCAGCGCTGTAGCTTACGTTGGCTGGCCTGCGCGTTATAACCCTGAACCATCGAGCACATCTTCGACAAGACTCGCGACTCGAAACCATGGCGACCCTGTCAACACTCGCATTCTCTCTGACTCTGGTCTCGCGTTTTGACTCGCTCTTGATCCCGGCCTGAACGCTGCTGGCCACCTCAATGTCTCTCGTGCTCTCGCTCCCGCTTCCGCTCTTGCTTTCGCTCTCGGGGGTCTCTGCGAAGCCAGTGTGGGAGCAAACCCGAAAAACCTCGGCTCTTCTGGGCAAGGCCCAGCCATCCCCTCGCAGGTGCGGGGGCGGGGTGGTCTTGTGAGGGGGCCCAGGGACACACAAATAAATGAACACAAATCCCAGGATTCCCCATATTTTCAAATATTTTCTGGGTTGTCGTCTTCTCCCCCACTTCCTATAATTTCCCTTATTTTCTGGGGGATCGACGATTAATTGTGTCCGTGTGTTTTTTCCCCTCTTGATCTTGGCGCCCCCGTCGGACCGCGAGCTCAGGAGGTTCTCTGGGACGGTGCCCGGCGTGGCCGGGCGAGACTCGCAGCGAGCCGGGCGCTCCTGGAGATGCCTTTGCAGGTCTTCCCTGGGCTGTTGCGGTAGCTTTAGGTCGGGCGCGTCCTCTTGCAGGGGGATTTTGGACGAAAAATTGGAAACATTCGAAACATGCTCCAACATGCTTTAGAACATCGTCCCCAGACTATTCTTGTTTGACCATGTTGGAACATTCCTCCTGTGGAGGGACACGCCCGACATAATGGTAGCTTGGGGGGGGGACAAGCGGACACCGACACTGCGGCTCCCCCGGCCTCTCCTGGGGTGCGTGCGTGCGTTCTGGCCAGGACTGCCAAGGGGGGGGGGGCGGGTCCAGCCGTGGCGGCGAGGCCCTCCCCAGGAGGCCCCCGCAGGCGACGACGAGTGCACGGGCAGCAGCTCCGGTGAAGACCGCGCGTGCGATCAGAGGTCTTGCCACAAGCCACCCCGGGGCACAGCCCCCGTCGAGCCTGGAGGGCCCCGAGGTGACCCAAGAGCTCCTGCCGGGTGCCGCCGAGGGGCCAGGGGCTTCCGTGGCGCACCCGCCGGCAGGCCGCTTCTCTCTCCCCCTTCCCTCCCTCCCGGCAGCCGCGGGCCCGTGAAGGTGAGCCGCGCCGTGCTCGCGTTAGGTCGGGCGTGTCCTCCCACAGGGGGATTTTGGAGGAAGAAGGAAAAATAGTCAAGATATATTCCCCAAGCGCTCAGAATTAGTCCCAAACTCGTCCCCAGACTATTTTTTGACTATTTTTGAAGGTCCCTCCCATAGAGGGACACGCCCGACTTAATGCTCGTGCTTTTTCTCGCCGACGCGCGCAGCGCGGCGCCTGGCTTCTGGTCGACGGTGACGTCTGCGCTCCTCCCCCGAGGGCCCGCCGAGCAGAGCGCCCTAGCTCGAGACTCTCGTGGATTAGCGGCCGCCCGCGGGTCCAGAAGGCGACGACGCCCGAGAAGCCTCGAGCCTCGAGCCTCAGAGCCAACGTTGCCCTAACGTTGCCCCTCCTCCTCCTCCTCCTCCTCTTCCTCTTCCTCCTCCTCCTCCTCCTCCCTCCTCCTCCAGCCCGCTGCCGGCGCACACCGCGAGCAACCCTGCCCTGGGGGTGGCCAGGCGGGAGAGAACGACATGGGGCGACGCTAGGGCGGGGGGGGGACCAGCTCAGGGGGCCCAGGAGGCCCCTGGAGCCCTCTTGGAAGCTCTAGGCTTCCTGACGGTTCCGTCGTCTTCGTAAGTCTTCCAGCCTCGAGGTGCTCTCCAGCAGCTGCGCCTCGTCGATGGGCGCCCGGGGCTGCCCGGATCGTCCCGAACGGCCGCTGGAGGCCCGAGAATACGACCCGAAAACCAAACAATCACTTGAGGGCGACCGGCTGAGGGGGGGACAGCGTCGAGCTGGATCGGCGAGGGGCCCGCGAGAACGAAACCACAGGTGACCATCGAACAAAACAGACTCAAACCTACAGGGAGGAGGAATGGGGAAGGGCAAGGCGATGAAGGCGCTATAGGAATGGACGTGCGTTGTCGGACCCCGAGGGGGACCCCGCTCGAGCGGGGACCCCCAGCCGACAACACACAACCACAGCCGCCCCCGAGAATTCCACCCCAGGAGTTCTGAGGGACATTATACTTTTGTTGGCAGCTGGTGAACATGATCAGGCTCCTGGGCGGGGTGGCCTACCAGGCCCCTGGCAGCAACGAGTGGGCGAGTGGGGATCGATGCATCCCACCCCCCGCCGAGCCTATTCCCCCCTGACGTTGCCCCTGACCATGGGAGGCGCCCAGGTGAGCCTACCTCGGCCGTGGCTCCGAGAATGCTCTCACGAGACCGCCACGCGGAACTGGCCGGGACCGTCGAGCTCTCTCGTGCCCAAAGCCGCCAACGCCCTTCCAGCAATCTCGGGCGCCAACTTTTGGGGGGCCTTCCTCGGAAAGGGCGCGGTGAACGAGGCATCCAAGCGCCAGGTGCACTTCCGTGCGTGTCTGGCCCCGGGGGCCCATGGGGCGGACGTCTCGAAACCATGCCTGGGCGATTCGTGGGTCCCCAGGTGAGCATGTGGGCTCGCTCCGTGCCATACCCACTTGGCTGGCCCGCGACCGCCTCCACCTGATGTGAAGCCTTCGAAACCACGGGCGGGGTCCAGGGAGAGCATTGTCCAATTCTGCCCCAGAAAAAAAATATCAGAAAGCCACCCTGGGTGTCGCGATTTACCCAGCCGCCAAATAGTCCGAACTCTGGCCTCGATGAGGGTCATCTGCTACTGCCGCGCCGTCTTGAACGCAACGATCGTTGCTGCCAAGTGGAACGATGACATCTGGCTCCAACATCACCTCTCTCAACTCGCGAAGCAACGACAACGCGTGCTGCCACTGCCCGCCTTTCTCGCAAGCGCTCATTGCACCGCTGCAACTGATGACGCTGGGCTCTAAATGGGCTTCACGCGATTCGCCGAGCAACAACAGCGCCTGCTGCCATTGTCCCTGCTTCTCGCACGCGCTGATCGCGGCACTGTAGCTGATGACGTTGAGCTCCAGCCTCAACTCACAAAACTCTCTGAGCAGCGATAACGCTGGCTGCCACAGCCCGCCTTTCTCGCACGCGCTTATCCCTACGCTGTAGCCGATGGCATTCAGCTCCAACTCTGCCTCCCGCAATTCGTTGAATAATGACAACGCCTGCTGCCATTGCCCATCCGTCGTGCAAGCACTGACGCCCGCGCTGTAGCTGACTACGTCTGGCTCCAACTGCGTCTCCCACAACTCTCTGAATAACGACAGCGCCCGCTGCCATTCCCCGCCCTTCGCACACGCGCTGATCCCAGCGTTGTAGCTGATGACTGTCAATTCCAATTTCGCATCACAGCATTCCTGGAGTAACGCCAACGCCTGCTGCCACTCCCCGCCGTTCCCGCAAGCGCTGACGCCAGCGTTATAACTCATGACATTAGGTTTCACCTTCGCCCCCTGCATTTCGCTGAGCATTGATAACGCCTGCTGCCATTGCCCGCCTTTCTCACACGCGCTTGTGCCAGCGTTATAGCTGAAGATATCTGGCTCCAGCTGCGCCTGCCGCAGCTCGCTAAACAACCACAATGCATGCGTCCACTGCCCGCCTTTCCCGCAAGCGCTAATTCCAGCATTGTAACTGATTACGTTGGGTTCCATATGAGCCCCCCGCAACTCTCTGAGCAATGATATCGCCTGATGCCATTCCCCGCCTTTCTCGCAAGCGCTGATACCCGCGGAATAGCAGATGACGTCCGGTTCCAAATTCACCTCGCTCAACTCGCGGAGTAGTGACAACGCATGCTGCCATTGCCTGCCTTTCTCGCACGCGCTGATCCCAGCGCTGTAGCCGATGACGCCCGGCTCGAGTTGCGCCTCCAACAACCCGTTGATCAACGACAGCGCGTGCCGCCATTGGCCAGCTTTTTCGCATGCGCTGATCCCAGCGCTGTAGCTTATGACGTTGGGCTCGAAATGTGTTTCTAGCAACTCGGTGAGAAACCATAGAGCCTGCTGCCATTGCCCACCTTTCTCGCAAGCGCTTACTCTGGCACCGTAGCTGATTGCGTCTGGTTGCAGTTTTGCCCCTGGCAGTTCGCTGAACAGCAAAAGCGCCTGCTGCCATTGCCCTCCTTTTGTGCATGTGCTGGCAACGAGAGTATGAATAAAAGTATCGACTCTCGTACCCGTTTGCAGTGCTTCGCGGAACAATGCCAACACTGTGTCCCATTGCCCTGTGCCTGCGCACTTCTTGATGGTCGTTATGAGTGAACAATGGCTGGGCCGAGATGCTACATTCACCGTCGAACAGATACTCACCATGCGTAGGGTTCAATTAATATGTTACGCGCTTGAGCCAAGGTGACCGTAATCCCTTATACTTCTCCCATTCCCATCTCACCGGACTCTGCCGCGAGCGCAGATTGGGGATCTTGTTGCCAAACGATAGCCGTACCCAATGGACGCTCCGCTCGGCGAAATGTGTTTGAATGCACGCGCGCACGCAGCAGAGCGACGGCAAATTGTCCGCGCGCGCTACTACTTGAGCGTGCAGAACAACGCCAACTATTATGTGGCACGTGCCAAGTTCGGTGCAGTATGTCGCCTGACTAGTGGCACGACCGCAAATGTGCAGATGGCCACGAAGCAGGGGATGCACGGGCGGGAAACGCAGGAGGCAGCAGAGGAGGGGGGAGAGGTACAGGATCGACCTGCGCACGTTCAGTCGCGACAAACAGTATAGTGGGACACAAACGTACATGCACGCTAGACGAATGGGACCGGACCCTGCGAGTCCGTATCAGTCACATTTTGGCTACCTCCCGTTCTAGAGCGGCACCGAAATGAGAGGACGCGTTGCAAACTCACACTTCACCGAGTTGGCAGGCCAGTATTTTTGCGCCACCGACGATCACCATGACGACGCTTCGAAAAATAAGATGCACCGCTGGCGAAAGAAATCCTGAGATGGAAACTTCGGGGGGACTGGCGAAGGGGGGAACATCGACCTGGAACCGGCAATGCATCGCCGATAGGCCCCCGATAGCGGTTCCGCACGCTCCTGGGCGGAGTGGGCCACCAGGCCCTCATCGGCGGCGATCAATTGGTGATCGGGGCCGATGTGCCCCTTGACCTGGGCGCACGCCCCAAAGTTGCCCCTGACTGTTCCCCCGCGTTTCTCTGGCCATGACTCGGGCTTCTGGCGGCCGTTCGGCACGATCCGGGCACCCCCGGAACGCCCTCCCTCGAAGATGCGCAGCTGATGGAAACCACCCCGGCCCGGGAAACTTTTCGCCCCCGCCCCCCTGGGCCCACTTAGGCCCCAGACCCAAACATTCTGTTACGGCTTCCAAACAGGATCGACCTGCGACGGTCCTGGGGTCCGAAACGAGTCCGAATCGCCCCGCGCAAAAAAATTGCAACGGCAGGCCCCCAGAGAGATGGAAGTGATGGGAGGGAGGGCTCCCCCATGGGGCCCGAGCGCGGGCGGCGCGGGTGAACTCCGAGCTGTGGAGGAAGAGGAGGAGGAGGAGGAGGAGGAGGAGGAGGAGGAGGAGGAGGAGGAGGAGGAGGAGGAGGAAGAGGGAGGAAGAGGAGGAGAAGGAGGACGAGGAGGCGGAGGAGGAGGAGGAGGAAGCGGAGGAGGAGGAGGACGAGGAAAAGGCGGAGGAGGAGGAGGAAGAGGAGGAGGAGGAAAAGGACGAGGAGGAGGCGGAGGAGGAGGAGGAGGAGGAGGAGAAATCATGGATCCAGGAAGTGCGCGGTGCACACCCCGCGCAAGCAGCCGGCAATGGCAGGCCCGAAGGCGCGCAACGATGGACAAAGGATAGGCGCCTACCTCGTCGCCCAGCGACTTGCCTCCAGCCGAACGGGCGTAGTGCGTAGGGGGACGGTCGGTTCACCTCGTCACTGCGAGGTACTTCCCGATTACCAGCTCCTGCCCAATCAGCTGGCATGCGCATTCGGGCTTGTTCACTAGGGCGAATGGGCACAAAGCGGCCATGGGACTCGCGGGCCCCATGGCCCATGGCCCCGCCTCTCCCCGTGCCTGGTACCCATCTCCAGGTCACGGAGCGTGGCTGGCGCCACTGCGACGGGCAAAATGCCGCGTGGCTTGTTCCACAAAGGCGCGGGCCGGTTCAGCTGCCCCCAGTCGCCGCATGCAATCGACCCTGACGGTGTGCTGCGAGGAATGCGTGGCGCTGACACCATGAGCACAGGTGCCTTACCCCCCCCCTCGGGGAGGAGGAGGAGGAGACTAGAATAGAGGATGCAACCAGGGAGGCAATGTTTGCAGTAAGTGGATGATAAGGCGCGGATGAGGCGGGCACGGGAACGCTGCATGCTCCCGCGCTCGAGGGCCAGGAAGGCAGCGGACAGGCTGGGTGAGAAACAGGCATGGCAGCAGAAAGGGGCACAGACACCGACCTATCGAGCCTAGTGCTCAAGCGAGTCCATCGTGCCCTAAAAGGACAATGTAACAGGAAATCTTTACTAGTCGCCCCGCCGTAAAACAAATTGCCTCGCGGGGGAATTCGTTGGCCTGGTCTCGGTAGGTGCCAGGGCCACCGGACTTCGTTCCAGCCCGAGGCGCAATGCGCAATGCCCCCCGCGACGCCAACCGCAACATACACATTTCACGGCGCCCGCGGCAAGGTTGAAAACTACTCCCGTTGGAACCCTTTTGACTAGCCGGAGCAGGCTAACCTATTCCCCCACCCAGTAAAGCGTGAGACTCCTAGAAGAGCGCCTGCTAAGGATCCGCGAGCTGAATGGGCACAATCTGCGGAAGCCCGCTCACCTGAATGCTCGACTCGTCGATCTCGCCCGTTGATGTCCGCGGGTGTCGGGGCACGCATCCCACCCCACATGGGCCAACGCGAATCTTGGTGGCATATCCGCTTTTTGACTCCGTGTGGCCTTGTGACGCAGTTGCGAGAGTCATCTCCTTTATTCTGTCTGAGTGAGGTCTGCTTTGAGCTCGGGGCGGCCTTCTGCAGCTTCTCGTCGCTGAACTTGACGGCGGCGTGGTCATGTCTGACCTGGCCGCCCATCACGCTGAGGACTAGCTCTCGGCCTGTGCTGCCCTCGGTCATGGGGTCGGCCCGCGTGTGCCGAGTGTCGCGCCAGTGCAAGCCGTCGATCTGCTTGATGCGCAGGTGGTCGGCTAACCACCGCAGGCGGCCACCCGTGCTGTTCTCGGGCGGCGGCCGGGCGAGGTCCATGAGCAGGACGCTGAAGACGGACGCGCCGTCGATGACGAGGTCTGCAAAGATCGCGCAACCTCTCTCCCCCCATCAGCCCCCTGATCTCCTCGGCAGAGGCGGGGCCGCATGAAGATCTGCGCGCGAGCTTGTGCGATTGGCTCACAGCGTACAGCCGTTTTCGCACCTGTTAGCTGGCGCGGCAGCACTTGCCGAGACGCATGTATAAGGCGTCGCTGTGCGCGCTAATTCGCCCGGCGCCCTGCGTTCATGGAAATGCGACGCGTGCCTTGATCTTTTATGAGGCCAGAACAACTGAGTTGAGCTGTGTCGCGTGTCGGATGGCCAGCTTGTTCTTGGCTCTCTGCAGAGCGACGATGCACGCTGCGACGTGGTGCTGGGTGAGCCGGGCGTAGGCCGCAACTCACAGATGGGAGACGACGAGGTCGGGAATCTGACGTCCGGCCAGCTCGTCAGCTGCGGCCTTGGCCCGGTCGACGTGTCTGATTGGTATCAGAGCGTCGATGCACTCGTCCTGGTCGAGCGCCGCGGTGTCATTGGCACAACGGTACTGGTGCGCTCCGCAATTGGTGAAGTCGTCGTCGCCCTATATCTTGCCGACGACGCTCTCGATGTGGCTGATCAGCCAGTCGACGTGCTCCTTGCGCCCAGCGATTAGATCGTCGACGTGCTTGGACAACGTGAGCACCAGCTCAGAGACGTCGGCAATGCTGCTGCTGGGCGTCGCGTGCTTGACCTCAAACTCCGGGCCCCGCCTGGTAGGTTTGGCGCTGCACTCGGGTGGGCGCTTGGCCCGGGCGATCTTCCTGGATAAGGCTCTGGGCGCATCCTTGCAGCCCGCGCCCGGCTCGACGCAGCGCAGGCACTCGGTCCGCTCGAAGCTCTCGTGGCCGGGCGCCTGCTTGAGGATGGCTGCGCTGGCGGGTGGCAGGGTGAAGTTCCCCTCTCGAATTTCTTCGCCTTGCTCCTGCATCTCTGCGCGCGCCATGCCTTGTAGGAATGCCTTCTCGACGTCAACGGCGACGTGCGCCCAGTCGGGGCGGCTCGCTGCCTCTGAGGATAGTAGGCGCTGAGACGCCCGCTTCGCTGTCCCAGCGAATGTCTCCAGGGTTCCGGCGCCCGTGTCGCGGAAGCCCCCTGGCGCCGTGCGCCGCTGGATGATCCCGGCAGTCTGGTCGTCTGAGCCCTTCTGATGCTTCTGCAAAGCATGTCTGGAGTCCATTGCGTTTCGGGCGCTTGTGAGCGGCCGCCTCTTCTCTTGCCCAGATGGTGAGCTCTCTGACGATGGTTGCTACGACCTCTTTCGCCAGCCTCGACGCTTCCCCCCTGGGCCGAAGGTCGGTTTGGCGCTTGACGACCGCGGTCTTGACGGCGGCATGAATGTTGCGCGCAGCTGTCTGAGGAGAGACGGCGACGAAGTCGCCAGATGCAGCGTCGTTGAAGCTCAGGAATGCTTCGCGTACCCCTGGATCAATATACAACTCCACACGCCGACGCAACGTCGCCCTGCTTCTCCAGGGCGGCGTGGTCTTCCAAGTAGGCCCCGCGCAGGTGGTGGTGGCACTGCGCGTGGATGCTCTGACGCTGGTGCTGCGTCTCGAGGTGCTTGGCCGCTCGCATTGCCTGCGGGCTAGGTCGGCCGCGGCGTGCTCGACGGCGGCTGAGACCTCACGCCGGCTTTCGGCGCTCTCAGCTCCTCCAGCATCTGCGCCAGATCGTCTGCCCCCTCGACTCCGCGCCAAGCTGACAACATCACCTGTTGGACGTGGTGGGGAAAGTCGCTGCGGGTCTCCTCTGGCGTAGCCGACAGGGCTGACGGCGATCCGCCTGCGGCGGCGCTGGCGGTGTCCTCGGGGACACCAATGGCGCGGTCATCGAACGTTCCGTCCATGTCCTGTCCGGTGTCTGTTAGCATTAGCGGCTCATCATCCAAGTTCAACTGGATGATGCAAGCGAGCTTCCTTCCAATGCTCGCCCGTGAGCTGGCGAGTGTCGAACGTGACGCCGTGGAGGTGGATCTGCTGGACGTCAGTCGGGCCCCAAGAAGACGCCAGATGGCCAGGCTGCGGCTGCGTCCCGGCCAAGTGCCCACATATC